AGGAGGAGGTTCTAAGACTACTAAAGCTTCCGCTAGTATCTTAGTCCATTCTAATACAATGTGTGATCGTGTGCGCACGCACATCGTTACAAGGGTGCTTGACAGTGTGGCTTGTCCTGAAAGCAACCAAGCTGAGCTGACGGATATCATTCTATCCTCCCGTCCCGATCTGACGAACCGTGTCAGCAATGAACCCAGCTGGCAGCTGCTGCATTGTTTCCAATCCTTCAAAACAATGCTGATAGCTAGTACAGAAACATTTGCTGCTGCCTCATTCCAATCCTTGGAACAAATGTCATTGGCAATGAACGAGGTACCATAGCTGCTGCCTCGGTTGATTGATAGAAACTCCGAACCAAAGTGGTGGTGTCCCATTACCAGTAGCTCCACTGACAGACAGTCATTACACAAACCCACACACAGTGAAGGGAGACGGCACTGGTTGGAGGTTGGTTGCAGGCAGGGCTGACGCTATCAGAGTAAATAGTCTGATTAGTCTGACGGATCAGACCATCGAGTTTGTGAAAAATGGAATTCCAGAGTAGTCAAATTTTCATCACTGAGAGCCTCAAAGTTATTGTTTTATGGCCCCTGATTCAGTGTAATAGGCCTCAGTGTTAGTCATTTCTGGAGTCTGTCACTACAGAGTATGCGTTCTGTGGTCCCTGCATGCAAGTTTATCGGGAGGAAGCTTCCTCGAAATTTCCTTTCGATACACCCACCTCCGAGGTTCACTAGTGAGGGTCAAACTGGTGAGTCAAACCCGTCTTGACTGGTCACAGCACCAGCGTCATTAAAAATTCGCGTTGACAAAGCGAATTCGCGCCGTACGGAGCAACGAATTTGCCCAATCACAGCGAAATGGCCCTGACACAGCAGATTTGAGCTGTCAGAGCACAAAGGTCTTGACCAATCACAGTAAAATGTATCTGACATTGCACATTCGCCCTTTCACAGAACAGATTCGCCATCAAAGTTCAGTTTCGATAATGCACAGCGCGTTACTACACGTACCCTGATCGTGACTTCTCGACCCTGAACACTCAGACTGTATAACTTCCCAACACTGAGCAATCAGGGTGCTTCTTTTCTGGAAAATATGCCTTCAGGGTAAATTTTTTTTTTTTTGGTGGACATCAGGGTACCTAAATTTGAAACGTCAGCCCTGGTTGCAGGCCCTCATAAGTCAGAGAAATTTGTCTGATTTGCTTGAAAAAGTCTGAGATTTCAGATATTTTTGTAGGAGTGGTACTCTGAGAAATTCAGAATTATTTTGGCTTCAACTCTGTAAAATCATACCGGTACCGTATTTTTTGCTAGGCTGACTCTGATATTTCAGAGTTTCCCGTGAGTGTACTCTGAAGAATTCAGAGTACAAACGAGTACTGACTCTGATTGTAACTACCTGTGCACCGACACCCAGGATTACCAATGGTACATTGTACCTGTTCAGTCAATCACGCGAAATCTGTGCCAACTGTCAAGTTCTGTAGGCGACGCCGCCCAGCGGCGCGGTGTTTCCCTTGTACAGCTGGATGATTCCCCCGCCCTGCGGCGCGATGTTTCCCACGGTGTAAGCTCCAGCACACACTCTGTTAGAGCATTGATTGGTCCGATGGGCAGCTTTTGACTGCCATCACGAACCCCACCACCACCAGTGTCCACAATGCTGCAGCAGTTGCCACCCACGTAAAGGTGATGGCAAGCAGATGTTGCCAAGAACACCAGTTAATTGGTCCCTTTGGCAGCATCGTGCACGGCAGACACGCCTCGTCGTTGCCGTGCATGCTAGGCAACCACCCACCAGAGGCATGGATGGCCCACAATCAGTTATAGGGCCATCCTCTACGAGCTAGGGTTTCATCCCCATCCCTCAGCTCAGCTTCAATTCACGGGGCCCCTCCACTGCCCAGTTCAGTAGCCTCAAAACCGCCTCTCTTAACTGCTCGGCAGGCTCTCTCAACTCTTCGCCATGGCTCAGCCAGACAATCCCGCTACCTCCGATGAAGACGACAATGATTCGCAGCCTCCGTTAACAGGCTTGGATTTTTTGCTCTGTCACCTAGCTCTCAAGAAGGCAGCACGCGCTGAGCCCGATTGTATCCCCACCTTGAAGGAACCTCCAGCACCCGTAATCTCAAGTCCCGACCCTGTGGCAGAGACACCTGCGGAACCAACTGATGTTTCGGCATCGCACCATCCCGCTCAGACCACGGCGCGATCCGTCCGGCTCAAGCAGGCGACATTGAGCTTCGCCAGGCCTTCATCCTTGACCGGCGACGTCAACAATTCTCCAGGCTCGTCTGAACGTCCGCAACCTCGCCTCACCATAAACCTGGCCGAGCTCGTCGAAGGGTTGTACGATGATGCCATTTACAAGTTCAAGAGTCAGTGGCAAGCGCGGTTTCCCTGGCTGCAAATCACCAAAACCACCTCCGGCTTGCCCGCCTTCAAGTGTACTGTGTGTGAAGCTTATGCTGGCGACGGAGGCAAATGCGGGAGACGCGGGAAAGGAGCCACGGACTTGCAGACCCAGTCGTTCCGTAAGCACGCGGGCACGGCTAAGCACAGGTGGCGATGGCGAGACAAATAGCTGTGCAGGAGTGTGGAGCGATTCAGCCACAGATCGACCAGCATCGCGCCACCATGGACGGAGAGCAGTCGCGCGTCGTCGTCCTTCTCGACTCCCTGCTGTTCATCAGCAGGTCCAATGCGCCGATGGGGATGTGGGTGAAGCTTTTGCGTTACCTGGCAGAGAAGGGCGTGCCTGGCTTCCCGAAGAAGGGCTATGGCACCTACTACACCACGTGAGTGCAATTGCCCGAAGTTATTTGATGCATTTTGTTGTGTCAGTGTTTAGTCCAAATGTTAATCTTACTGTTTCTTTATGCATGCAGGTACGGTTTCGGGGAGCTGATGCAAGCGATTGCGACATGGCTCCAGACAACCCAGCTGGAGCACGTGCTGGCGTCGCCCTTCGTCCGCATCGCTATTGACGAGAGCACGGATAGGTGCAGCGGGAAGCACCTGATCCTCTTCATCTCTTTCATCCGTGACAACAAGCTTGTGACGGAGTTCATGGCTCTTCTTACCGTGGAGAAGGCAGATGCAGCTTCCCTCCTCAGTGTTCTGTTGTCACACCTGCAGGCTGTCGAGGTCGACCTTCAGCGCATAGCGGGGATCAGCACCGACGGTGCCAACGTCATGATGGGCAGCAAGGCCGGCCTCACCACACGCCTCCGACTGCGCATCCCCCATCTGGTGTCATCCCACTGTATCGCGCACAGGTATGTATGTATGTATGTATGTATATGTTTTTCATTTGTTATTTGTTTCGCGTCTTTACGATTGTTTGTTTTCCAGATGTACTAATGATGTTTGCATCTTGTGTACAGGGAGGCACTCACGGCCAAAACGGCGGCCGAAAGGGTTACGGTGTTCAATGTCATTGACTCGGTGATTCGCACCGTGGCAGAGCATCTTCGTACGCGGGGAGGGAGGGAGGGAGGCCACGTTGGGGGTGATGCACTAGGTACGACTCACTTCGCAAATCGGGGGGACAATTTTCGTCACGCGAAACTACTGTTCTAGCGAGGACGAAAGCAGTGACGATTTCGCCAACAAATTTGAAGCCCGTCCGAAACTGTGTGCAAACCAGTTATGATGTTGCATTCCAGATCTGGTTATTTTCGCGAAATTTTCTTCCTTTACGACCCCAGACCACCAATTTTGACACCACCCTGGCTCGCGAGCCAGTCACCTTTCTCTCCCCTTTCAACCTTCCTAACTTAGAAACTCTTGGACCTCCGGTTTTAATAACACCCTGAGGATTTTGGCGGGTCATCATTTACCCACCAACCTAACTCCAGCTAGGGCAGCCCGTGTGATCACATAGTGATAACTATTGCGCGCTTCGTTCTTTCACGATAACACCGCCATCCGTGTGATTGGAGCTCCCTCGCAGGAGCCTTTCTTCGTGCCGACGGAAGTGACGCGACGGGCCGGGAGCACGGATTTACAAGGCGTCGCGATGTCTGGAAATGAACAACGGAGTGCCGGCTGGAAGGACGTTTACGTCGAAGGGGGATCGACGAACGGCCCGCTTACTAAGGCCGATCGAGAGGTGCTCGACGACAAGAGATCTCTCACCGTTAACTGCTTCCAGCACGCCCTCATGTGAGGCTCTGAGACGGCTCTTAGCACTACTGTTATCACCCCAAGTGCTTCCAGCACGACCTCTTGTTATGCTCTGAGACGTCTCTAAAGACTACTGTTATCGCCCCAAGTGCTTCCAGCATGCCCTCTTGTTATGCTACGAGACGTCTCTAAAGACTACTGTTATCGCCCCAAGTGCTTCCAGCACGCCCTCTTGTTATGCTCCGAGACGTTTCGAAACACGACGCGGATAAGGCTCTCACCGTGATTGGCTTCCAGCACGCCCTCACGTGATGCTCCCAGGCACCCCACCCACCACCACGCTAACAGCCCATGTGCATGCTCCGTACCCGTCTCGCTCACACCCCTCAATGCCCTCCCTCACGGCGCTCGCAGGTTCATCGCGAAGCAGGCGCTGCTTCACTACGGAAAACGCGTAGCGATCTTGAACGGCGCGTTAATCCGAGAGCTCCAAACATCTGTACCGTCGGGATGGAAAGGACTGGAGGAACTTTTCGAGCAGGATATGTTGTGCTGGCCGCTAAACAGGTGAGCAGTGCCAGGGTGAGCAATACACGGGCATGCATACTCCTGGCTGAATCTCAACCCCGCACTCACCGCAAGCCCGTTCCCGATGTGCATCCGTCCCTCTTCAGCAAGGGCACGGCCGGGCGAACCGGTCTGCACGCGAGCACCGTTGTGCTGCACAACCTCGGTGACCTGTTTGCGAGCGGCGATGGGCCGTGCAAGACGCGCCTGGTCCACTTCGATCCCTTGCCGGAGCCCGGCCGCCACGCTGCCTAGGCGGGGGCTGCCTGCCGGTACGTTCCGCGCATCTCTGCGGGATGGCGGTTGGGGGGTGCGTGAAGGGGCCCTTCAAACGCGTCTACCCGCTTTCGCGCGCTTACCCCCCCTCACATCGAGCAGTCACTGCGGCACAAACCACAAGCCTGGACATTGTTGGAGGCAGACGAACGGAGGGCCGGGTGGGTCAAAGGAAGGGGGGCAACGGCGCGCGTGGGCGAGCGCCTGAAATAGCTACGCCTCGAGCACGAGCACGCGGTGAGCACAGCGTCGCCGCTCGCCCGCTCATTGGCCTACGCCAGTGCCAGCGACGCCTTCCGCTGACGCCGCATCTTTCGTGCGTGGCAGGGTCCGAGCACGACGGAGGAGGAGGGGGAGGTGTGCGCGGGCACCAAGTGCGCGCTCGAGTTGTGGCGCCTCATCCAGGAGCGGGTCCAAGCCGAGGCGAGTGGGAACACTCGAGGCCCGGGGGAGGCCACGAGGGCTGCGGCACCGACCTTAGACGGCGGCTCCAGGAGGATGCGGATGCCCGCGCGACATCCGGCAAGGCGGCGCTGAATCGTCCCGAGCGTGGGCCGAGTGTCGGGGTCGTTATCGAGCCTGCGAGCGCACCTAGCGTTGCTCTGGCGGCAGACCACACGGATACCCTCGTCAGGTGAGTACGCCACGTCCACTGCCGAGTGGTCACGTCGGTACGCCGGTTTCACGCGCTGCCTGACCTCGTGTGCCTAACCGTGCTTCATACCTGCGCCGGCAGGCTTGTCATGGAGAGGGCGGCCGCGAAGCAGGCGAGCCCGAAGCGTACTAGGCTTATCATGGGAGGGACCGATGTGAGTCAGGAACTAGACGTCATGGACCGCAGACCAGAGGACAGAACGTATCCACCCGGCCTCCTCAATGACGATCTCATCATCCTCCTTCTCCCCCAGTAAGTCCCCTGCCCCTGCTGTCGTGCACACCACCGCACACACGGACGGATGCACTTCCGTCCTCAACGACTCACGCACCATACCCGTTGCCAACCTTCTCCCTTCCCACCCAGCTTGCACTGTCCCGAGGTGCCGGCCCACAGCAGCATTGTGGCCGTGATGAACCCCCGAGCACTCTTTGCGGAACCTGGCGACACCGCGAAGGAGGGAAGCGAGATCCGCGCGCGGGTGGTCCACGTCAACCCCCCCGCCGACCGGAGATGCGTCGGGGCCGTAAACCCCTGGCTCGTATGGATGTAAGCAGTGAGCCGTGCGCGTTGATTTTTGCGTGCAGCGCAAGGGCACCGGACTGACCCCCCCTCACTCGTGTTGCGTGCTCTGCAGCGTCGTGTCCATGTGGATCGAAGTGGAGTGGCGTGCGCTCAACCACGGCGTCGCGTTCCCCACTATCGCCGCCCTGCGCATGGCAGCTGTCCCATTCAATAGCGTGGTGAGTGTCTGATCCAGCGGCCCCATCCCAGCCCACTGCAACTCTCTCCTGCGTGGTATCTGTGCAACGACTAACCAACTCCCCTTGATGACGCGCGCCACGAATTCGAGGGGCCGCCCATCGAGGCTGATCATGACACGCTGTGCGCCCTTGCCGTTCACAGTATCCTGACACAGTTCCAGAAGATCCTTGCCCACCCGGAAGGTGGGGCGTTACGCTTGAAACCAGATATGTTTGGCTTGTTTGACCTTACCGGCTGCGTTCACGAACAAGCCGAAGAGGAAGGGGGGGAGTATGAGGGTTGCGATGGCGCGGAAGGGGACGGGGGTGCGGTGGAGGAGAAGCAGGGGGGGGGGGGAGGAGGAGGGGGAGGAGGGGGAGGAGCGGGAGGAGGAGGAGGAGGCGGAGGAGGAGGAGGAGGAGTGGGGAGAGGAGGAGGTGGTGGTGGTGGTGAACGGGGAGAAGGATGGAGTGATGGATGAGGGCAGACAGCGGAGCGGGTCGTTTCGGTGGGGGGGGGGAGCATCGGAAGGGCAGCCGACCAGAGGAGGGGGGGGGGAGGTAGCACCGAAGGAGGGAGATGATCACGGGCAGGTAAAGACAGGGAATGAGGGGCCAGGGGAGCAGGAGGCACCGACCTTGACAGCGGCGGGGGAGGGGGAAGAGGGGCTGCTGCTGGGGAGGGGGGAGCGGGAGGTGGGGGGCGAGGGTGGGGAGGAGGAGGAGGAGAAGGAGGAGGAGGAGGAGGAGGAGGAGGAGGAGGAGGAGGAGGAGGAGGAGGAGGAGGAGGAGGGGAACGGGGAGAAGGATGGAGTGATGCATGAGGGCGCACGGTGGAACGGGCCGTTTCTGTGGGGGGAAGAATCTTCGGAAGGGCAGGCGAATGAAGGGGGGGGTAGGGAAGTAGTGCCGAAGGAGGGAGGTGGGAATAAGCGGGTGGAGGCAGAGACCAAGGGGCCAAGGAAGCAGGAGGCGCCGACGTTGACAGCGGAGGGGGGAGGAGAGGAGGGACTGCTGCTGGGGAGGGAGACGTGGAGTCCGGAGGAGGAGGGGGGGGATCCGTGGCGGGTGGATGATACACCACAGCCTCGAGACGTGGATGCGCGAACCCTAGCCCCCCCTTGTGCGGGCTCGATCCGGGATGCCGATGCCCTTGCACTGATCCCCAAGGGGCATGCGGTAGGTGTTTGGGAGTCAGGGAGTGAAACGTGGCCTAAAGGTAGAGAGCGAGATCGCCTCATTCTCATCGAGTACCACAAGGCGTGCTTGCAGCGGCTGGACCGCCAGCGGGTGGGGGACGCTAAATTGTCGCCTGAAGACGAGGAGTGGGTTCATTCTATGATTCCAAACTCCGCCCCGACGCTCCGAGAAGGAAATGCGGCGATCCATCGCTTGAACGGGAGAGGATACGACGGAAAGAGGCGCCGTGCATCACGCCCTGCGCCTCCACAGAAAGGGAGGAGCACGAATCGCGAGAGCGAGCCGGTGGAGGAGCCGACGAACGGGCCAATGGGGAGGGAGGCGTCGCAACAGACGGAGAAGGCGGAGGTACGGGAGAAGCCGCGGGTGAGGGCGAGGCGGGGGGGAGGGGGGGTAGCGCAGCCGATCGAGGGGGCGGGGGAGAAGGTAGCGCCAAAGGTGGGGACGAAGGGGAATACGACGCGGCGTGCGCAGGGTCGGAAGGGTTTGCACGTGCCGCAGAGCCGGGGGGTCGGGGTGCAAAGGAAGAGGAAGAGGACCGATGAGGAGGGGGAGGAGGAGGTGAAGGAGGAAGTGAAGGGGGAGGGGGGTGAGGTGAGGGAGGGAGTGGAGGAGAAGGGGGCGAGGAAGAAGGAGTGCAAGGCCGGGAAGGCAGGTGAGGAATCGGAGGACGTGGTGGAGGTGGCGGCCCAGCTGCAGACGGACTCGCCGGCTGTCATGGAGGGCCTCAAGGCGGCCGTGCGGGGCCACGGCCGGCGGGGTGGGGTGAAGGAGGAGGTGAATGGGGCGGAGGATGAGGTGAATGAGGGAGTGAAGGAGAAGGAGGGCGAGGAGGATGATGTGGTGGAGGTCTCGGCGGCCCAGCTGCATGCGGACTCGCCGGCTGTCATGGAGGGCTGCGAGGCGACCGTGCTGGGCCACCGCTGGCAGGGGGGGGGGGGGGGGGCGGGAAGGCTGCCCCGGTCGATGAGGTGCCACTGGAAGGGAGGACTTTGAGGTCGTGTCGTACAGCCGTTGCGAAGGGAAAACGTGCCAGCTGTGCACGAGGGGGGGGGCGAAAAGCGAAGCCTAGGGGCACAGCGACTCCAAGGGTCGAGGGTGAGGAGGCGAGCAGGTGGCCCAGAGTATGTCGTGCCCGCACTAACGATGCTGCTCCGGGGGGGACGTCGCCCTCCGGAACCCCACGTGGACAAAAGCGAAAGCTAGAGGCCTCCGAGGGGAGAACAGCACAGCAGGAGAAAGTGCGTTCTAAGAGCGGTGGGGTGCGGCCATGCAAGAAGAGGAACGGCTACTTTATAGCGGAACCGTGGCTGGGCAAGAGGCGGTTCTGGTTCGCTCGGGTTCGGCACGCGGACGAAGCGAGGTACATCACCGCCGTGGCGCACATGGCCTTCTACAAGACAGTTAAGCGGGTGGAGATCGGAGCTGGAGAGGTGGCGGACTGGCAAGCGGAACTGGATATCGCCAGGCTAATCCCTCCAGGCATGTGGAGTGCCATGGTCGAACGCGGTCTCGCCTCGTCCGCTGATTGGTGAGCTGCGGGTTGATGGGGAGTCTCGGTGGGTATCAGGTGGCCAGTCCACTTGTTATACTCGCTTCAAGGCCATATGCGACAAACATCCCGCGTGTCAATCCCATCCCTGTGCGTGCAGGTGGTGGAAAATGTTCGAGTGGTTCCGAGAACACCGCTCCCGGCACGACTCGGCGTCCATCCACGCGTTGCTTGGCGCAATGGTGGGGGCACGGGCAGCGACTGCTGCAAAACGGGTCGTGCCGTCATACGATGTGGCAATAGCGTGCGGCTTTGCGGCGGTCAGCGCGTCTCTGGATGAGAAAATATTGAATGCAACCGACGAGGCCAAATTTGCGGCAACGATGTTGGGTGCGGACACTGCTACGGCTGATGTGTTCAGTGCCGTGGCCTATACTGCGGTGCAAGCTGTTGTTAATTTCAACAAGCAGCGTGAAGATGCCAACGCCTTGGTCGCGAGTGAGGAGGCATCGCTCATCGTTCGCCAGCTGAACGGCGAGGCTCTTGCCTCGTGTAGCAAACTCCAAGAAGACCATGGCAAGGACGTCGTCGAGCTGGTCGTGAAGGAAACCCTGGACACTAAATGTTTCTGGTTTCAATCGGACAAATTCGACGAACTCCAGCGCGAACGCTCGCTGTACCTGACGAAACCCGCAGGGCGCAGGAGACCGCGCGTCAGAGGGGGGTCGCGGGCGAGGAAAGGCACCAAAGTTGTCCCCGCAGCATCTGAGGGAACTGGCGTGGTCACGGAAATGTGAGGCGGCCGAATTCTAGGACGGACGCCGGCGACGGCGTCTGCAAGGCCGACGGGGGCGGGGGAGGGTGGAAGGAGGGGGGGGGGGGAGCGGAGTGGGGGGGGTTGGGTGGGGGGAGAGAGAGGGTGGAGAGGGTGGGGGGTGCTATTTTCTGTTCTCACGCAGATGCAGATGTGCTTCAACCAAGATGCTTTCTGTTGAGTATCGCCTGTTGTCGCCTTCTGTGTAGTTTGCACTTTGGTGGGGGTGGAGGCAGAGGTGCATCAGTAGCGACGGAGGGTAATGGGATCTGGGACTTGGGTCGGAGCAAAGCAGTTTGTGAACCAAAACGTTCGCATTGCGACTCTCGTTCAACTCTTAGTCCATCTCTTATACTTACCACATCTAACCGCCGTGGCAGCGCATGCATTTTCAATAAACATTACCGTATCACCTTTTTACACACGAGGTGGTTATTTTCGATACTACGGTACATATCTCGCAAGCGCAGCTGCTTGTAACGCATGTTTTGGCATCGTACATGTGCGAGAAAACGCCTTCTCCACCCAGGTCTCTCCTTTTTCCCATCTGCTTGTACAACTCTCCCATCCCCTGCCCCCGCACCCGTGGACATCAGTGTGGTGTGGCCTCTACTACAACAAGAAAATCGATAGCTAGTACCCAGGATAGATAGCAGGTATCATGAATGATAGATAGTAATATGATTGAAATGAAATTGAAATGCGAGATTGATTGAGCGCATGTAAAATCAACTATAATCCGCTTTCGATATACCCTAAACCCTGTACCGCAAGGGCTGCTGCTAGCAAGTCTCTGAAGACTTGTTAGGCCACTGGTGTCAAAGGGCGTCTCATTATATGAGAAATCATGCCTGTCACAAACGACCCCAATGCTCTACCAAGGAGAACCCGTCAGCTGTTGTCCATGTTTCAGCAGACACTTCCCACTAGGGAGGGCGGGGGCTGCCGGAATGATGTTAACCTAGAAACATGGCTCGGGGGCTGTACAGTACACTGTCGAGCATGTATTCCAGGAGAGGCTCCTGTACCAGAGTACACACGAGCCGTTGATTCTGGGGCGCATGGGTTGAGCACTCAGGGGAGATTCGTGCTGAACTGTCGGGTTCTGAAGCGCATGTGTTGAGCACTCAGGGGAGATCCCTGCTGGGTTCTGGGGCGCATTGGCTGAGCACTCAGGGGAAATCCCTTCTGGGTTCTGGGGCGCATGGGTTGAGCACTAAGGGGAGATTCGTGCTTAACTGTCGGGTTCTGAAGCACATGTGTTGAGCACTCGGGAGATCCCTGCTGGGTTCTGGGGCGCATTGGCTGAGCACTCAGGCGAGATCCCTGCTGGGTTCTGGGGCGCATGGGTTGAGCACTCAGGGGAGATCCGTGCTGCACTGTCCGGCGGAGTCCTCCGAGCCAGTACTCTGCCCGGATCTCGCACTTGCGTTTCATCTCGGCAGTTCGGGGCATATCGAAGCCGGTCTCCACCAAAGGACCTGCAGCGACGGTGCAAGCCGACCACATGCCAAGCGTGTCGGTCATCTCTTTCTTTCGCCACCACCTTGGCGTCGTCGCTCGTCGCCAGGCCTGGGCCGCCCAACGCTTGCTCGATTACCCACGCAACGTGCCCGTCCGGGTCGGACTTCGCCTCTTCTCTGCGCTCGTGAGATCTGTTACCCAAAGTGTTGAGGACCGCGGTGATCACGTCCTTGCAGTGCGCCAACTGCGACTGCTCTGCACCAACGGCTTTGGCCGCTGCTACGGCGCGGTCCACGGCGCAGTTGGTGCGGACTCCACGCCATATGCTCCACACCGCCGCGCAGGATGCAGCCAGTGCTGGAGCGAAAACCTTGGCGGTTGCGCCACTCCGCTTCTCGAAGTTGGCGGCGGCAGTCCCAATGGCCGCGCAGATGGCCAACTGCGCGCTCTCCTCGTCGCCCTCGTCGGCAGTGAAACCCTCCAGAACCGCGCGGTACCTGCAAGAGACAGAACACGGTCCGCCACGTCCCGTCAGCCGTGCGTTTAGCCAATGCATCATGGAAATGAGTGCAACGTAGTACACGACGGTGTGCACCACCCGGAACTCACCCGGCCATGATGCTCGCCAGCCCGTGTCCGTACATGACCGCCCAGAGGCCGGGAGAGATGAGGCGCGCCTTATTCCGGTCTGCTTCCCACGAGGCCTTGCTCGAGGTGATCCCCAGGCCCCCAATGTCGACCTGCTCGCCAAACACCGTTCGCGCCATCAACTGGACGTACAGAGCGCTCTCGCGTTTCCTGTGCTAGCCCATGAACCAATACTTGGCAGTCCACTCTTCCTTGCCCACTGGTAAGATGCCCTTCGCATCCGTGCTCTTCACCTCCTTTGCTTCCTCGCCCGCACACACAGCACGTTCCTCTGCTCCACCCGCCGATGCCATACCAGCATCGTCAGCGCGGCGGCCACCCGCCTGCGTTTCCACCTTGTTGCGCGCGTGTTCCTCGCCCACCGTGCACAGCCCGCCCTTCTCGACGGCCCGCGGAGTTCCTTCGTCCGACACACCCTTCTTCTCTGTGTCGCCTCCTGCCCTGCCGCCTGCCCCGGCCCCCGCTTCCGCGCCAGGGCCTTCGGTCTCGCACACGTCCTGCTGTGCGCCGCCCGCCTGCGTTTCCACCTCGTTGCGCGCGTGTTCCTCGCCCACCGTGCACAGCCCGCCCTTCTCGACGGCCCGCGGAGTTCCTTCGTCCGACACACCCTTCTTCTCTGTGTCGCCTCCTGCCCTGCCGCCTGCCCCGGCCCCCGCTTCCGCGCCAGGGCCTTCGGTCCCGCACACGTCTTGCTGTGCGCCGCCGCACGTGCTCCGTTCCAGTATCAGCTGCTGTGCTAGTGCGAGCGGAGGCATGCACTCCCGATCGAACCTCCCTCGTTTCAGAGACGCGGACGCTTGCGGCAACTCCCCGTCTGCCGGCGGGCACTTGGGGGGCGTTGGTGCGGACACCAAGCCAGCAGGTTTTCCCTCCCGGGATCGTGCTCTTTTCCGTTGGGGCGCGGTGAACGGGGGCAGCGTGGAGTCGGGATCGGTGCGCGTGGCCGGGACGTTTTTGTTAACGGGTGCTTTGCGACGGTGCGTGCGCGTTGCGGCCGAGTCACCTTGCGGCGTGCACGGGCTGTTGGTCGTCAGGGCTCTCGTCCGCGCCAGCTTCCGGTCGTTCGCGTGTTGGCCACCCCCGGGGTCTACCTCGTTGCGCACGTCTTTGCCGGCCTGCCTGCACAACCCAACATTTTCGTTGCCCTGGGACCCTGGATGAGGAGCTGTAGGATACGGGGGGGGGGCGGGGGTGCTGCGATTTGAGGTCCTCTCCCAACCCGGAAAGCGTCTTCGCTACACTCTCTATGCATGCTATCACCATCGACTTCATCGCCTGATTCGTGACCTCCAAATTCCGGATTCTCTTCCCGTGATTCTGCAAGACCGTCAGAAGGCCCTGTTCCGTGTTGGCGAGGAGCTTCTGGGTGTTGATACGGCCTGCATCCCCTCCCCTCGTCTGCTCGACGGTGTCCTGCGGGGCAGACGAGGCGACCGCATGTTCCGGTTTCGCTCGTCCCGACCCCTTTTGGCGACGTGCCGCATTGGCCGCCACTCCCGCGACGTGGTCGGCGTTGCGCCCACCGGCCGCACCGGAAGCTCCGCCGCGTGTTGCGCGCACATCTACGCCGTTGTCAATTGCCGGCGCAGCCGCCTGGCCCCCTGAGCCGCCGACTGCCGCTCCCACCGCACGTCCTCCCGTACACCGCCAGTCTGCGGGCTCCTTCTTCACGCAAATACCAGGGCTCACTGACGGCCCCTCGTCCTCACAGCCGTCGCATGCGTCGATGGTGTTTGCGATCTTCCTAACGTGTTGGGTTCCATCTTTGTCCGTCCTTTCGAGCTTCAAGAATGGCTCACTGACATCGTCATCCCGATTCATGCGCGCCAGTACCTCGTGGAGCACGCGGACGCATCTTCCTCCTGTCCATTCCCAGTCTTCGTAAGTCGGCGGCAACTTCTGGACAGACCCACAACACATGGAACGCAGATGGGTTAAGCAAATGAGCTTCTGCGCGAAATGGGGTCGCTAACACGAAGCTTACCGGGAACATTGAAGTTGGAATTTGCCTGATGCGATCGACAATCTCTTCATGCGACGGGCCACCGTTACCGCGCTCTCTGAGTTTGCATAGGTACTTGCGGAACCATCTGTCGGCGGGCGGGGATGAAACCAAATACACGAGGTTAGACGGCCACGCATGTGGTTCGGCGAGGAATCACGCGACGCGATACTTACCCCGTCACCGACCGGACAAGAGTGGCGTGCAACCGGGGACCTGACGGGGGATTGACGAGGACCAGTCTCGTCCGGATATCATCCCGCCTGTCGTACGTTAGAATGTCGCCCGGGAACACTATGGCGACGAAGCTGCAGTGTACGAAGGGTGACACGTCGGGCCTGCCATCCCCACGTGGTTAGTGTTAGGGTTGAGGCTGATGCAAGCATCGAATACACGGACACTCTGCACGCAGGCAACTCACGCGGTCCGTATCGGGACAGCGATCGCGTCGCTCCTTGCAAACTCGTCGGGGAGGGCGATGGCGTCTATATTGACACCCTTCAAAAAATATCTCGGATCAAGGATGGAAAGCGTTAAGTCGCCGCGCTTGATTGTTCTGCACACGCGAGGGCGCCACGGTGTGACGGACAGTTAGTCGCGTGTGCGATGATAGCAGTTAGGACGTGCTAGCGACGTCATACGCGATGGCACACCTGGAAGTCACGTTCATCAAATCGGCGGGGGTGTCTACCCCTCCTTCGAACTTCCGAAGGCGCCGATCGAAGTTGGAGAACAGGAAAACGTCGCCGTCAACCTTCCGCTTAGGCGAGTACTTCTTCCTGGGCGGCTCCCCTTCCATGGCTCTCTGCGGCTCCTTCGTTTAGGGCTAACAAAAATACTGAGACGATGGTAAGACGATGGTGGTCAGGACGCCGTCGCTTTTGCTTTCTCCAACCTAGCGTGATGTCATTAAACCCTGGCATCCAAAAAGATGGACTACGAACTCGTCGCTGTATACGTCCTTCATGCAGCATGTATGCACCGTGAACTGGATTTCATCCGTTGTGACAGTTTGTTAAGGGTGCGTTTCAGGACGCGGTGCTTTTGAATCGAAGTTCAGAAAACAGGTCGAGCTTGAGCTGGTTACTGAGTTCTTGAATGTCGTGATAGTCTTCGCAAGAAACCAGGTTAATGTTCGAATACTGACTCGTAAGTCAAGTAACCAGACAGTCAGTCGACCGCGTGTTCAACGGGCATTCGAGCCGTGCTTACGAGCGTGGTCATTTTAGCAGCTTCACGAACACGACGATACTTGACGACATCTACAGTTGATACACGGACAAAGACGTTAGAGCCACGTAGGTTAATCGGGTAACTTAAATTGATTATTGCGGCTCGACGAGTGTCGATTCTCATTTTTCGATCCTCGCTGGTCACATTCTGACCTACCAGAAATCGGCCCCGTGGCTCGAACCTCGTGAAATCAACTTTTCGACCAATCAATCGAGCTTAAAAAAATATTAAATCAAATCAAAAAGCAAACTTCGGGATTTGCGCCAAATGCACCGTGCCCTTAGTGACCGAGCGAGGATTACACGACCGAGGCAAACTATGCATTTAGCGAAACCATGCGCGAATTGTCAAGATTAGCTTAGAACCTAGGAAACTAGGTGAGGGTGTCGAGGGTAGCGAGAGGGAAGAGGGGTTCAATAAAGAGCAAAGGTACGAAGATATAGGGTAATGAGGTGCACCACCAAACGGGAAACATAACTACACTAACACTACAGACAATTATATAAATATGAATAACATATTTCGACACACCCACATAATTGTTTGCAGGTGTGAGTGTAGTAACGCCCCCTAAAGAGGGTACACCATGCAGAGTGCAGCGGAAGTAGCAGCAGTAGGCAGGAGCAGTGACAACCAGTGCAGTGGTAGCAGATTCAGCTGTAGCAACCCTGAGCCAAAGCAGAAACACAAAGCAGAAAAAGTAGCAAATGTAGGGGCGGCAGGTCGCCTGAGGAGCAGGCTCTGTGGCTGCAACGTGCAGCAGGACAGCAGCGGCTCGACGGCAGCACCTGCAGGCCCCAGCAGCAGAAAACAAAAAAACAGGGCAGGTGGCGACAGGGGCGACAGCTGGAGGTGCCACAGTAGCAGCGGGCGGCAGCAGCAGATGCCTGGCTGCAGGAGGAGGAGCCGAGAGAACGCAAAAAACATAGAACAGAAGGGAGAGAGGAGGAATGAGGAGGCGGCTGCGGCTGGTGCTGAAGCCACGCTCCCACCACCCCCTCACCCTTCCCCCCCACAGCGACTGGCGCTGCAGGGAGAGAGCGGAGGAGGTGGGCAGCGGCTAGCGCTGCAGAGTCCCTCCCGCCACGCCTTCACCCTCCCCCCCACAGCAGGACGCACGGCCCAGCAGCAAAGAGCAGGAGCGGCGCGGGCACTGCTGCAGATCCCGCCCACCATCCACCCCCGCCATCTCCCCCAACAGTAGTTTCCGCGGCAGGGCGTGCGACGAGCCCGCAGATGCGGCGGAGAATAGGGAGGGACGGTCGAGCGGGGGCAGGGCGCTGGCGGTTACTGCAGCCTGGCCGCCAGACCCTTCCCCCCTTCTTCCCCCTCACAGTGACCGACGCTGCCAACGTGCAGGGCCGCGACGGGGGGGAAAATTTTAGGGGGGCCGGACGAGGGTGCGACGAATCCGCAGCGGTTGCAATCGAGGCCGCAAACGCTCTCGCGCAGCTCGCCGCCGAGATCGTTTCGACGGTCGCGACCGTTGTAACCGTCGTAACAACGGTCGCAACGGGGGGCGTGACGAGCGCCGTGAGGGGGGGGATACGTGGTGGGCCCATGGGGAAAATGAAATTAGGTCTTAGGACGACCTAGCTCTTAATACCATGTCAAGATTAGCTTAGAACCTAGGAAACTAGGTGAGGGTGTCGAGAGTAGCGAGAGCGAAGAGGGGTTCAATTAAGAGCAAAGGTACAAAGATATAGGCAAGAACTAGGGTAATAAGGTGCACCACCAAACGGGAAACATAACTACACTAACACTACATACAAATATATAAACATGAATAACATATTTCGACACGAATTAATATATCTTCGAAACAGGATGGTAACAGTAACGGTGAACTGTAGGGGTGCTATACGGCGTTGCAGCGTCGAGTCCGTACCTCATTCAGTCACACCTAGTTACACTTTGCAGTACGCTGTAAGGGGGTTTTTATAGAAGCACGAGTGGTACGACATGCACTTCGGTTCCGTTTACTTTAAAGCCTTCGTGCATGGTACAAACATATTTGCTGATATACCTGTCTGTTGTGTAGGTGTTTGTCTGGGTGCGAGGCTAATAGGAACAGTGATGTACATACGCGGTGGACGCAATGTAACTATAAGTTGTAAACCATACACTGTTTGCTAAAATGTAATATTCCCCTTTCCAATTAAGCACGGAGTTCGCGGAGGTGATTGTTCACCAGCTCGAGCATCGGCTAGGCAACCTGGATGGGATGTCCGGGGTGAAGCTGTTCCTGCCAGACGAGTACCCGTTGGATCGAGCTGAGAGGAAACGGCGGTGCCTTCAGTGGCTATAGTCGCTAATCACCTTGTTCAAGGCCGACCTGACAAAGGAGATCGTGCCAGGTAAGCCTTATCATCCTGCTTCGTTGCTCTGCTTGTGTACTGTGCGATGCTTCTATCTATGTGTTTAATTAATCATTCAAATACCGTATGTTTTATCGTTGTTTGTGTTTGTTTACTCATTCCAATCTGTTTACCCAATCCCGCCAGGAGTCAACAAGCACCGTGCAGAGAAGGAGCTTCACATGTTTACCTCGGTGCTTGCAGCCTCTACCAAGGGCGAGCGCAGCTTCCACACGGGACTCACAGCCATGCTCAAGACGCCGGACTGGCGGGACAAGTATCACAACCTTGTTCATCTATGGGTGGCAGTAGCTTTCCTGCCGCTGAGCACCGTGGAGTGCGAGCGTGGGTTTTCGAGGCAGAACATTATCAAGTCGTGGAAGAGAGGCTCGCTGAAGGATGCACGACTGGGCGACCTCATGTGCATGAGCCTCATGGACTACGAGCCCAACTGTGACAATCTGGAGGGCCTACAAGAAGCGCAAGCCCCACAGCAACGCTCCTCTCCCGCCTGCAGGAAAGCAACAGAACAGGTCCAAGGAGACAGAGGAGGTGATGGAAGTAGAAGACATAGAGCAGGATGATGATGATGCATCCGATGGTGATGATGATGGATTTGATGAGTAGACTAGAGTAGATATGATAGGATATATATAGCTACAAGCTAGGTAGTAGTACGGTACCGTATGGCCCCGGATAGTAGCGCATATGCGCTTATAATAAAATCGTTTTTTTTAGGGGTGGCGCTAGTAATTGAGGAACGGCCATAAGCGCCGGCGCTTTTATAACGACAAAAATTATTTTCGAATTCAAATGAACCAAATTGAAGCTATCAATAAGGCGAATACAATGATGTGACGTGCGCATGGGATCGTGCATGGAATCACGGCGAAACTTGCCGCGATTCGAATTCCCACCACACAAAACCTGTCTAGGAGCAACGCACCTGCCAGCGCTGACGCGTAACCTGTCGTGCGGCCCAATGAGGTCGTCATGCGCTGCCAGGCAGGAGCATCTCGACCGAACCCTCTAGAAAGGGGGTAGAAGATGCCCTGCCAGCGCAGCATGGATGGTTCCATGAACCCTCCTCTGCGGGTTCAGGCAGAGGGGCAACCCTCGTTCATTGACGAGGGCCCCGAGGCGCCATGCCGAAGGGGTCCCCTTCATTCTTTCATTTCTTGCATCTTTCATCCAGTTTTTCATTCAGTTTCTCGTTCTTTCCCGCCAGGCTGCGGAAGCCATGGCGGAATTCACCGGCACCCATTTCTTGTTTAAGAAGAAGCCTTCTGCTAGGCCCGCGTTTAGAGTTGACGCTGACGGGTGGTATTCCCGTATCCCACCAGAGCCACCACAACCTCCTGCGCCTCCTGCGCCGCCTGCTCCTCCTGCGCCTCCTGCGCCTCCTGCTCCTCCTGCTCCTCCCGTTCCTCCGTCTCCTGCATATCCCGTGCATCCTGTGTTCACGGGCAATTAGCCCGTGCTCACGCTCCTTCTCCCTTCGGCGTTCGATGAGTACCTCTCTGAACCGGACTGCGACAAGCGCCAAGATGAGTTACCGTGATGCTCGCGTGCACGGCGGACGGGGTGAAGCTCAAGCCCTGGGTGTTTTTCAAGCGGAAGACCGTGCCGAAGGGCGATTTCCCGGCGGGTAAGTCATGGTTTATATTACAGTGTCGTGTTCTGTATCTTCTCTTTAATCGACTGACATCTTGTTCATCTACGCCTGTGCAGATGTGGTCGTGGCGTGCCACGAGAACGGGTGGATGGACGCGGAGGGCGTCATCCGATGGCTTGAGGAGTGTGTCAAGCCTTTCTTGAAGCCCCGATTCGGCAGGTGTGCGAAGAGCTCCATGCTGGTGCTGGACAACTACCGTGGCCACCTCACCGAGGGGGTGAAGGAGAAGTTCCGCGAGCTCAACTGCGTGCCGGCGGTCATCCCGTCTGAGTGCACGGCGGAGGTGCAGCCCCTCGATGTCTCTATCAACAAAAGCTTCAAAGCTTCAATCCGCCAGTAGTATCAAAAGTGGTTTCAAGAAGAGGGGCAGGAGCAGCTGACAGCAGCAGGTACGTTGTAAGCTACGGTAGATGCATATGCTTGTTTATCCACTCCTCCTCCCCTTTGCAACGCTAACTCTGTTCGTGGTGTTATTGTCCGTGTAGGGAATCTCAAGAAGCCCCCCCCGAGCAGTGGTCCTGCGATGGGTCTCTCGGGCATGGAAGGCCGTGCCCGCCGACCTCATCAAGCGCGCCTTCCTCGCTTGTGGCATTAGCAACACGCTTGACGGCAGCAAGGACGGCCTCGCGATGGCACACAGGCGGACCCAGCTGACCGCGGAAGTGGATGTCGACGACGACATCATCGCTGATGGCTTCTTTGGCAACAACTGCCAGGAGCCTGAGTCTGACGAGGAGGAGTAAGAACGGTAGTTGGTTCATTGGTGGGAAGGCTTGTATAAAGGTCTGTTCATTGAGTTAGAAGTATCGTAGATGGATGTAATTGTTGGTGCTAGACTTATAATGAATTTTTTTGTGATGTTAGTAGTTAGTTTCTTAAATTGAAAAAAAGAAATGCATTAAAGTAGGCGCTTATAATAAGTACGGGTACAAAATGGTCTGCGCTTATAATCGAGGAACGGCCATAAGCGCCATGCTCCAGATAGAGGCGCCGGCGCCTTTAATCGGACGGCGCCTATATCCGGGGCCATACGGTATGACTCTTAACTGTTATGTGCTAGGGTGTATGTTCTAGGCCAGCCTTATGTAGTTGAAAAACACCTTAAATACACCAGCACTTAATCAGACTTATCATTGGGGTGAACTCTGATTGCTTCAGACTTTTCTTTAAAGACACTCGGAAGTTTCAGCCTTTGTTTCAAACCTAGTCTGATCAAATCAGACTAACACAGTGTATTAAGTCTGACAAATCAGACAGGCAAAAAACGAATCTGAGGGCCTGGTTGGTTGCCATAGCACTGGTACCGTAAATGAAAGCAACGAACACTAACGTATGTTAGTAGGCAAGAGAAATGTACGGTACCGTATGAATGAATATAATCCTGTACTAGGGGAATCAATGTGGGGTGGGGGATCAATGACAGCCATCCATCCATGATCCATGATTCTTCTGTTTCTCCACACAAACGCCGGCACACGTTGAGTTTGCTATCATAATCTCTCCACAACTCCTCTCCCCTTTCCCTAACACCACACCTCTTCACCCCACCTCACATCACGCCTCCTCCTCGTCCTCCTCCCCATCCACCACCACAACCCCCACCTCCTCCTCTGCCGCCCAGTGCTCCTCCCACCAATGGGGCTGCAGCACCGCCCGCGCCTCCTCCAGCTGCTGCCGGATCCCCGCCAGCTGGCGCCCGTCTGGCATCGCCACATCAGCGGGTGCCACATCAGCGCCAAACAGCTTTGCCGCCCGTGCGACGTACTGTGAGACTGCTGTTTGCTGCTCGGGTGTGAGAGTGGTGGATGAGGTAGAGGAGGAGGAGGAGGAGGAGGACGAGGCGGAGGAGAGAAGGGAGGAGCCGGTGACACGTGGCAGCATCTGATTGGTGTGCAGCAGCATGAGAGGCGCCATCAGAGCATCCACGCATGGCTGAGTGGGCGGCCAGTCCCAGACAGGCGCTGCCGCCCGCTCCCTCCTCTCTATCACCTGCAGCAGGGCGGCACAGTGCGGCATGTCCCGCCACCCGCTGCGACAATCCAGAACCAAATCTTCATAAATAGCCAAGGAAACCAGCAGCAGCAGAGGGAGGCGCTTGGGTTTCGTCCCCACAAAACCTTCAAAAGTAGGCAGGTCAAAGTGGCTGGAACCCCACTGCACCACTCTGAACACCACATCCACCTTCACCTGCATTGGCAGCGCTGCCAGCACCCCCATCACACTCGCGCCATACACCGAGTCTTCGCCGCCCAGCGGAATCAGCCTCGGGACCTTGCCGAAGCTGCTTCCGAGCATGCTCGTCTGGTTCGGGCTCACAACTGGTGGGGCCTGAATGGATAGCTGCTGCGGCGATCTCTGCTGCTGCTGAGATTGCTGCTGCTGAGAATGCTGCTGCTGAGAATGCTGCTGCTGAGAATGCTGCTGCTGCAATTGCCGTTGGGCTTGCTGCTGCTGCTTCTGCTGCTGGTACTGGTCCGGGTGGTGGTGGTGCCGCGACTGGTGGGAAGGTCTCGACGAGTCGGTGTGCGTGCGAGCGATGGTAGGCTGTTCATTACCCGAGTCCGACCGACCGTGCCCGAACGCCTGCAGCAGAGAGCCAGGGAGGCTCATAGACATCATCTTCTGCATCATCTCAGGGGTGGTACTGTTCATGTGGGCGGTACTGTTCATGGGAAAGTTCCTGTTCATACTGCCTGCCACCCCCCCAGCTGTGTCTGGGGCCATACCCGAACCGCCACCGTACCCAGAGCCCTCTTCTCCCTCCATTCCCCCATCGCCCCATGCTTGACCTCCCCCTCCCCCACTCCCACCTCCTCCCCCTCCCCCCCCCTCCTCCCCCTCCCCCACCCCCTGCATCCCCGCCCATGCCACCGGCCCGGCCCATCCAGGCACGTCTGTTGCCGTGCCTCCTGCCTCGTGACAGCAACGGCCCACTCAGCACCTTCTTCCCCTTCACCCGCCCTCTTGCCTGCCCCGCCTGCCCTCCCCCTCCGCCCCCACCACCCCTTCCGCCATCACCACCATAACCACCACCACCAACAGCAGCAGCAGGAGCAGGGGCAGCGTCAGCGGCAGCCGCAGAATCGAGTCCCCTGCCTCCGCTGCCCCAAAAGCTGTCCCCGCTGCTGCCTCCCGAACCAGAGTGCCCAGGGTCGGCAGGCCAGGCACGGGGATGGTGCGGGAGAGAGTTGGTGGTGCGGAGCTGGTAACTGGGAGTCCGAGGCCTCTGACTCGTCATAGCTGCCTGGTATCCACACAGAGGATGCGGACGGGTGGGCCTGGGCGGGTGCAGCTGCGGATTGCATGTGCTGCTGCTGCTGGGACTGCATCTGCTGCTGTTGCATCCTCTGCTGCTGCTGGTACTGCTGCTGCTGCATCTGCTGATGCTGCTGCAGCAGCTCTGGTTCATGCTGCCAAGGCTGCGAGTGCTGGAAAACAGGGCCTGACGCACACGAGGAGTCAGAGGACAACCGGGGGCCCGAGGATTGCACCTGGTTAAAGCCCGCCTGCTGTGTCCCCATTGGCAGCTGCTGCACCTGGTGCTGTTGCGACTGCCATGGCTGTGAGTGCGAGTGTGGGTGTGGGAGGGTTAGCGAGGTGCGAGGAGAGAGTGGGGGCAGACCTGCCTGCTGCTTCTGCTGCTTCCGTTGTTGCGGTGCCAGTTGCTGCTGCTGCATGTGCTGCTGCATCTGCATATGCTCCTGCTGTGCCCACTGACCCTCCCCACTCTGTCCACCCAGCCGCCCCAGATCACCCTTCCCCAGGCGCAGCCTATCCGACACGTCAGTCAGCGCCTTCCTGGACAGCATCCCACCCACTCCCACCATCCCCTCTCCCGCTCCTGCGCCCGCCCCCAGCCTCTGACTCCTCGGCATATCAGACCAAGACTTGGGAACATTCAACCCACTGCCTGTGTTCATGCTCAGCGTTCTGCTGGCAATGCTTAGCGTTCTACTTGCCCCTGCCCCTGCCCCTGCCCCTACCCCTACACCTGCCCCCCCTGCTCCTGCGCCGCCTCCTGCCCCCTTCCCCTTAGCATGGCCGAACGGCATTGAGTAAAACAGCCGGTTACTCGGCCTCACCCTCCCCTTCCCCCCAGCGTCCCCCTCCCCCTGCTGCTGCATCAGCCCCTGCCCTTGATCTAGCCCTTGCTCAAAGCCCAGTCCCAAGCCTAACCCCTGCCCCTGGCCTAGCTCCTGCCCTTGAATCCAGGATCGGTAACAGTTGGGAGGGATGGCAACGCCTCTGGGGCTTACAAGTGCTGCTGCTACTGGCGCTGCTGGTGATGCTGCTGCTGCTGCTGCTGCGACTGATGCTTGTACGGAAGGTGATACTAGGCCGCCGTTGTTATAAGAACTCAACACCCCATACTCCATCTCCTCCTCCTCTTCCTCCTCATTCATTAAATAATTCCCGCCCACCCCGGGCCTCCCGCCGGACCTCCGCCGAACCAGGCTGAGTTCCGGAGGCTCGGAAGACACGGAGAAGCGGGGAAGCTGGGTGAGGCTAGGGGGGGAGGAGGAGGGAAAGGAGGGGAGGGAGTGGGAGGTGATGGGCTGGGCAGTGGTCGGCAGGGGGGCGGCGAGGGTATCGGAAGTGGGCGGCAGAGTGATGTCAGCGGCGAGGGGGAGGGCGTGCAGGCGGAAGAGAGAAGGCAGGTGGCCCCGGGCGACGCGCACTCGAGCCATGCTGCCCCCCCCTTCCCCCTGCTTCTCCTGCTGCTCCTTCTGATGCTTCTTCTGCTGCTTCTGCTGTTTCTTTTGGGTCTGCGTCTGTGGTTGCAGCTGCTGCTGCTGCTGCTGTTGCTGGTCCGAGGGCAGATGGATCTCCACAAAGTGTCGATACTCGGGAAACTCGCTTCGCAGATCAGCCTGGGGCAGGACAGGAGGGAGAGCGGGGATGGGCATTGGATAAGAGGGGCGGGAATGAGGGAGTGGCATGAGTTCCACGCTCCAGTGGAGCGATCCAATATGAAAACGAGGAGGAAAGACAGGAGAGGGGAGGAGGGGGAGTAAGAGGAAGGGGAGCAGGAAGCTCACCCTGAGCTTCTGAGCCTGTGCAGTGGCAGCTAGCGCCACACCATTCCCACTGCCGCCGCCGCTCCCACCGCCCCCTCTCGGACTCCTCTGCCCAAACGGCAGAAAGCACGACATCACCCCCCCACCCGCCACCCCCCCTCCTCCTCCACCTGGGGTCAACTCCTTCAGGTGCTGCCTCAGGTGCTTCAGGTGCTTCAGGTGTTTCACGCTCAGGTTCAGGGGAACCTCAAGGGTCCTGACAGTCTGTGCCAGCTCCAGCATGTGGTTTGCCAGCTGGGCGGCAGAGACCCCCCCTATAAGCACACCCACGGTTTCGGCCCCATACACGCCTCCCCTGGTTGCGACCATCTGGGGCAGCACGCGCAGCAGAAGGGGGGGGAGCTTGGAGGTGGGGGGGGCGTGGGGCAGGACGACGAGGGCGTGTCGGGATAGCCACCCGGGAGGGTTGTTGTCGCCGCCAGTGCCGGTGCCGGTACTGGTGGCAGAAATACGCGGCGATTTGGGGTTTGATGTGCTGGGCGCGTTGGGGCTCGCCCTCCCTCCTGCTGGAGCTTGCCGCCGCCGCCGCTGCTGCTGCTGCTGCTGCTGCTGCTGCTGCTGCTGCGGTGGGTGTTGTGGCGTCGGGTGCGAGCAGACCTTTCTGCAACCGAATGTCCCACACCGCGTGCTGCAGCCTGGTGGAAGGAGTAGTGGTTTGAAACGATGGGTGAGGGATTTGGGTTGAAAAGTAGGAAGAGATGAGGGCCAGTCCCTCCATTGGACCATTGGCTGGGTCGAAAAGAAAGAAAGAAAAAAACAACAAAAAGCGACGCTTGTTCATCAATGATAGCTACTAATATTATTTTTTATATTGAAATGGTTACCACTATAATGTATTATCAGTGCCTTCATTTTTCACAAAATTAATCATTTAATAATAATCATTGTTATATTGGTTACTCTCAACACTCGCTGGGTGACTCACCCGAGGAGACAGCAGACGGAGCGCCACGCGCCATACTGCGTGGAGGAGAATTGTTCATCTGTCCAGGTGACTTTTGAGTCGACTCAAAAGTCATCTGTCAGCAGCAGCACCCCCGTTTGCTTAGCACTCAAGGAGTTTCCTTTCTACAGGTGGAGGGGAGAACGGTCTAGACGCACAGCCAGGCACTCACCCGAGCAGGCAACAGATGGAGCGCCACGCGCCATATGGCTGAAGGCACTCACCCGAGCAGGCAACAGATGGAGCGCCACGCGCCATATGGCTGAAGGCACTCACCCGAGCAGGCAACAGATGGAACGCCACGCGCCATATGGCTGAAGGCACTCACCCGAGCAGGCAACAGATGGAGCGCCACGCGCCATATGGCTGAAGGCACTCACCCGAGCAGGCAACAGATGGAGCGCCACGCGCCATATGGCTGAAGGCACTCACCCGAGCAGGCAACAGATGGAGCGCCACGCGCCATATGGCTGAAGGCACTCACCCGAGCAGGCAACAGATGGAGCGCCACGCGCCATATGGCTGAAGGCACTCACCCGAGCAGGCAACAGATGGAGCGCCACGCGCCATATGGCTGAAGGCACTCACCCGAGCAGGCAACAGATGGAGCGCCACGCGCCATATTGCGTTGAGGTGAAGCGCTCATCTGTCAGCAACAGCACCTCCGCCCACTGCTGCTGCCCCACGCCCCCCGCGGCACTCATTACCCATTGCCCCGTGGGGCTTCCTGCGCTAGCCGTGGTCGGCATGTACCCTGGCACCAGCCGCACCTGCTTGCGCCTGAGAGGTGTGGGATTGGGGTGGGGTGGGGTGGAGGTGGGGATGATGGGTGAACATGTGGGTCAGGCAGGATGGGGGGTTTGGAAGGGAGGGGCTGTGTGGCGAGCAAGGCCGCATTGGTACGTGGATGGAACGTACCCCGACACCAGCTGCACCTGCTGAGTCAATATAATGAGCTGCCCAACTCACCGCTTGTGAGAGCGCTGTCCGTTTGCCACGAGCTCGGCCGACACCGACGCGAGGGAGAAGGGCGCCGGCAGCGACGAATCGTCAAGCGCCAGCTGGACGTCGATGGTCACGCTCTCGTGGGCGGCGAGGGGCGGCAGGAACTCCCGCTTCTCCCGCCGCTGCCTCCTGCCTGCTGACCTCTCGCCCCCCCGCTTGAGCGAGCCGGGCGTGAGAGCCCCTCGCGCGCTGTCCCTCTCACTGTCACTCTCGCTTGCCCACTCCACTGCTGCCACCACCTCCACCTCGCCTTGCAGGCTGGGAGGGGAGGGGGGAAGGAAAGAGAGGAGGGAGGTGTGGGAGGAGCAGGAAAGATTAGGAAGAGAAGACTCTTGTGGGGTGTGGTGCGGGGGGCAGTAGAAACTCGCACCGCTTCTCCCGCCGCTGCCTCCTGCCTGCGGACCTCTCGCCTCCCCTCTTTAGTGAGCCGGATGTGAGAGCCCCTCTGGCGTTGTCCCTCTCGCTGTCAGTCTCACTCGCCCACTCCACTGCTGCCACCACCTCCACCTCTCCTTGCAGCCTGGGAGAGGAGGGGAGGAAGAGAGAGTGTGAGAGAGAAAAATGGGAGGAACAGGAGAGATTGGGAAGAGAAGACTCCCCTGCTGCCACCACCTCCACCCCGCCTTGCAGCCTGGGAGGGGAGGGGAGGAAGAGAGAGTGTGAGAGAGAAAAATGGGAGGAACAGGAGAGATTGGGAAGAGAAGACTCCCCTGCTGCCACCACCTCCACCCCGCCTTGCAGCCTGGGAGGGGAGGGGAGGAAGAGAGAGTGTGAGAGAGAAAAATGGGAGGAACAGGAGAGATTGGGAAGAGAAGACTCCCCTGCTGCCACCACCTCCACCCCGCCTTGCAGCCTGGGAGGGGAGGGGAGGAAGAGAGAGTGTGAGAGAGAAAAATGGGAGGAACAGGAGAGATTGGGAAGTGAAGACTCCCCTGCTGCCACCACCTCCACCCCGCCTTGCAGCCTGGGAGGGGAGGGGAGGAAGAGAGGGAGTGGGAGGGAGATGAGGGATGGAAGGAAGAGAGAGTGGGAGGGCGGTGCTGGAAGGAGCAGGAGCAGGAGAGATCAGGACAGAGCAAGGCATGAAGAGAAGGGAAGGAGCAAGTAGCACGTACGGGAGGGGGGAGTTGTTGGTGAGAGTGAATCGGATGGCCAGCTCATCCCCAATGCGCATCTCGTTGGGAATCTGCACCGCGTCGCACGACACATCGGGCGGCACACACGGCGCATCGGACGGCAAGGAGCGTCCGCTAGTGGACTCGTATGCTGCCACCGCAAGGGATCCACCTTCACTCCCATCCTCAACCTCTCCTTCATCCTCTCCTCCCCCTCTACCGTCATCTCTCTGCCTGTACACCCGTTGCTCATCTCCGCTTCCCCGGCCCCACTGCTCCCCTAAACCCTCTCCTCCCAGCACCAAGCTCTGCCCACGCGGCCTACGCATCTCCTCTGCTGCGTCTCCCACCATCTCAGCTCCCTCACCCAGCCACTGCCGCTGCTCATGCTCATGCTCATGCTGATGCGTCTGCTGCTGAAGCGGCGACCACCCCGGCCCTTTCTTGAGCGGCAAGTACTCATCTTCAAGACTGGCACCCCCGCCGTCTCCACCTGGGCTCAGATACTCTCCGCCACCTCCACCTGGGCTCAGATACGCGTCTCCACGATTCACACATCCAAGCCGCACTGCCTCTGCCTCTGCCTCACTACTCTCACTCCATCGTCCATCCTTCCACCCCCTCTCTCCCCCGCTACCTGTCCCCCTGCCCCCTTCGCTATGGCGTCGTACGCCGCCCCTCCCATCCCCGCCCCTCCCATCCCCGTCCCTCCCATCCCCGCTATAGTGCTCCTCACTGCTTGCCCAAGGCCGCCGCAGCCTCGCCCTGTCCTCTGTCTCCCGGGCAAACACTTCCCCCTCCCGTGAAAACGCCTCTCCCTCCATTCCCTCCATTCCCTCCGAAATCTCCATTCTATCCGCATGTGAACCACCGGAGTAAGGCCCTTCAGCCCACGGCCGTGCAGCAGCGGCAGCAGCAGCCTCCACATCGGACAGTTCAGAGGGAGTAGGCTCGGAGAGGTGGGAGAGCGAGGCGTGGGAGAGAGAGCCTTGGGAGCGGTGCGACTGGAACATCTCCTCCTGGAACCGGTCGAAACTGCGCCGCTCACTTCTCATCGACCCACCGGTGCGTGGCCGACTCAACAACCCCTGCTGCTGCTGCTTCTGTGCCTGCTGCTGCTCCTGCTGCTGCTCCTGCTGCAGCTGAAACAGGCCGCTGCGGCCCGCGTAACCCTCTTCTCTTCCATCCTCCTCGCCTTCCCCTTGCCCCTCCCCCTCCCTCTCCTCCCCCTCGCCCTCCCCCTCGCCCCTCCCCCTCAGCAGCCTCCTCTATCACAATACCCAGGAACCGTCCGGAGAGGGAGCGAGGGGACAGGGGGTAGTCTAAGGAGCCCTCCTCCTCCTCCGCGCTTCCACACCCGCCCATGCTTCCCCCTCTACTTCCTCCGCCCAAACTCCCACCAATGCTCTCTACAATGCTTCCCCTGAAACTTCCTCCGACGCTGCTTCCCCCCATGCTTCCCCCCATGCTTCCCCCCATACTCCCCCCCATGCCCCCCCCGATGCTGCTCCTGCTCCCACTCTCCCCTCTCCCGCCACCGCCCCTGCGCCTCCTCTCGCGCCTCTTCCTCCCGCCACTCCCCCGGGCAAGGCCACCACCCACATTACCATCCGCACCCCCACACTTGATATTATCCCCATCCGCATGCCCATAGCTATGGCGGTCGCCGCCATCCACGCTGCTGTCCGTGTCATTGAAAAACAACACTTGCTGCCCCTCCTCTCTCTCGCTCTCCCCCTCCTCCTCCTCACTCATCTCCTCCTCCTCTCCAAACTCCTCCTCCTCCGCCTCCTCCTCCTCGTCCTCCTCCCCTCCTTCCTCCTCCCGCACCTCCTCTCTCTGCGCTTCCTCTTCCCTCTCCACTTCGCCTGTCGCCCTTTCGTCGTCTCCTCCTCTTCCTTCCACTCCCCTTTCGCGCCCACCCGCCTCCCTTCTCCACACTACCCCCATCTCCCTTATCAATTCCCCAGCCCCCTCCTCCTCCCCATCCTCCTCCCCCTCCCCTTTCCCCTTCCCCTTTCTCCCCCAATACCCTTCCGCGGACCCCGTTTCCGCCAGGCTCCCGCTGCTGCGCGACCGGTGAAACCGCCCAGACGAGCCTCTTGCGCTCCCACCAAAGCTATACCCGTCATAAGCATCCTCGTCTTGGTGCAACCCATTATAATCTTCCTGATCTGCACCTGAGAGCCGAACCTGCCCATGCTTCTGCCGCCGCCGCCGCCGTCCCTGCTGCTGCTGCTGCTGCGGTTGCTGCCGTCCCCTGGCTTGCCCTTCCCCACTCCACCCGTCCTGCCTGTTCGAAACCTGCACTGAACTGCTTTTTGCGACAGCAATAACACTGGTTACCCTATTCGTCCGTTCGCTACTGCTTCTATAGAAATCCATTCCATCCGCCGCCCCGCTCCCCTCTCCCTGCTCCGCCTCCCCCTCCTCCCCCTCCGCGCTTTCCCACTCCTCGAACATCTCCCTGCTCTCGTCTATTTTCCCAAACCACCGCGACGGCAGCGACTGCATACGAGACGGCGGCTGCAGCGGCGGAGGCTGTAGCAGCGACTGCCGCTGCTGCTGTAGCGACTGTAAAGGCTGACGCGGCTGTAGCGCAGGCTGCTGCAGCGGCTGCTGGCGCGACAGCGATTGTAACCGCGACAGCGACTGTAGCCGCGACAGGGTCTGTAGCTCGGGAGGATCCGCGCCAGCACTCCGTTCGGTGTTGTAACTATGCGAATGTCGCAAACGACGCACACTGCCACCACCACCGGGACCACAAGTACTGTTGCTGCTGCTGCCGCCGGCAATGCCTCCGCCAGCGTCCGTAGTAGCAGCAACGCCGGTCGCCACGCCTATCCCGGCGCCCCTGGCACTGCCCCAACTGCCTCCCCCCGCGCTGCCGCTTCCGCCTCCGCTTCCGCTTCCGCTTCCGAATCCGCTTCCGCTGGCGCTGCTTCCAGCGCTGATTTTTTCCTTCCTCGATTTTGGCGCCGCGCTGTAGACTTCTTCCAGGGGCGGCGCAGGGGCAGCTCCCGCCTCGTCCCAGCCCGCCGCCAGCGGCGGAGCTTCTTGCGCCCATCTGCGCGGTATTTGCGCGTTTTGCGCGTTGGGCCCGCGGGTAACAGCAGCAGCGGAGCTGGTAACCTTACTAGCGTTACCAGGACTGCTGCTGGCAACAGTTTTACGAATGCCCGTAGAAACGCCCGTGACATAGCTGGGATTGACGGTCACAACTGACGGTGTATTCGTTAAAGCGCTGCTAGGGCTAGTATTGCTAGTAGTAAAGCTCTGCCACCGAAGCGCGGAGGAATCTGAGGTCGTGTTGCTCGGGGACCAAGAGGCGCCGCCCGCGGGGTAACCGCCGCTACCAGTACCGTTATAATCCCCGATAAGCGCGGCCTCGCTCTGAACACCGCCACGGTGCGGCGACATCGCGCCGCCATGGTGCGGCAGCGCGGGGAGAGCCATGATAACGCTGCTGTCGTCTTCCCTGGAAGACGCTACGGGCGACAGAATCATCTCTCCGTCAAACCTCGGGCTCTGATGAGCATAAAAAACGTCATATCCGTTGCCGCCGCTGTCGCCTGACAGTGCCACGTCAGCCTCCGCCTTCGGCTGCAGCCAACCCGCTGGCGAGTTGCCAGCGGCGGAGGCGGCGGCGGCAGCGGCGGCGGAGGCGGAAGAAGCTGTCGTATCGACGGCGCCGCGGAGTAGCGAACCGAAAGCGCCAATGGTGGCGCCGCTGCCGCTGCGAGCAGCGGTTCCTTTCGCGTTGCTACTAGCAGCAGTCGTGGTGCTACTGCGATGATACTGTAAAGCCGCATTATTGCTCTTATCATCATCCCAGGAAACGCGACTAGAAGCCTTTGTTAACGAATCAGAGTCGTTAGATTTGTCGCGCGAGCTGCCGACGGCGCCAGAGGCCGTCGGCCTGGACTGAGGCGTGCTTTCGCGGGACGACCAATCGACGGACGGGACGACGTCGCTGGCGTTACGGGGCGTCCCGCGTGGGCCGAGGTTCATTCCTTGGGCTCGTCGCACGAGCCCGTCGCCGCCCGAGGCTTGTCGCGGCACGAGTCCGTCGCGCGATGGTCGCAACATGATTAGTGCGCGCAACGTCGGGTCGTTAGTACTCCGGCGCGACACTTCCATAGTAGTTGCGCCTTTGCATCGAATCGAGACTAATAGCTCTCCGTTGCTGCCATTCCAGATGTGTCAGCACTGTCGGATGCGTACATAATGGTTTCCGGTACTTCTAGAATTGCCAGTGTAACTCTCACATTCTGTACAGTATTATCGGTCCGTGCAATGAGTGGGTGTATTACTGAAAATGGATCAACAATCAGGTGCCAAGACCTGTTACCTCTCATTCACTCGTGAGCGTGCTTCCAGCTATTGCTCAGAGCAGGATGATTTGGAGGAGGAGGTTTCGATCCCTAATGCTCCAGTGCGGCTAGAATTGTAAATGTCCCATGTGGTGGCGTGGACAGTGGCCTTGTTCGGCAGTAGCTACAGTCACGACTGGAAAAGTGGTTCTCATACACCCAGTATGACAGCTTGTTTCGCTGCTCACAATTCTCTACGAAAAATAGAGGGTGGCTGATCAGGAAATCTTTGAGGTATAGGGGAGAGATATAAGGACGGGAAACACTTTTGTCAATAGTCTGTCAGAGTAATCTCCCCTTGTTAGAAGACAAAACCGTAGTGATTATCCGGGTAAGACTGTGTTCGAAAAAGTGAGACTGTAACTCATATCTGCTGTAAACTCAAGACAGGCAATCTTGGCCTATCCAAACACAAGCGCCAAGAATTGGAAGTCTCGAGTCCAAGTTGCTTTCTTTCAGTTCTGTGCACAGAGAGGGCAAGTTGGAGGAGGCCCAGGAGTCAAGGACGACGAGGATTTATGGCCGGGGCAGGAAACCGCGTTATGACGTAAATAAAACGCGGATTACGGATGTACATTAAACATTTCAGCGAATAATAATCATATTACTAAGATTCTGTCATAAGTGGTGGACTGTGTATGTGGAAACTTCTGGCTCTGGTTCCGCAAAACCTTGCCTTACGTTCACCGACTCCACGGTTTTATGGATTTGCAGCCAGCTTTGGATTCGATTGTGGGAGGGACGCTGAGGAAGAAAATCACTGTACCAACCAGCTCAGCTCAAGTGCGTGCACTTCCTTTCTGTCGTGCACCTGCCACCTCACACCTTCGCTCAAGCCTGAACACCTCAAACCTCAATTTACCGGCCTCCATCCTCTCTAATACAGTTTCGATTTCAAACGATAGGACACGGGCAAGGAAACCCACACCAACCCAACCCAACCACCCAACAGCACACACCGCCGAACCGACCCCAACAAAAGGTGCCGTTGGCAAACCCGCCACTTACCTGAAAGGCGGTCCGCGTGGTCCGAAAATGCTGCACCATGTCTCAGAAATGTCCAAACTAAGAGTCAGTACCAGACAACTTGCACTTGGATGAAATGTCTGGCCAAGTGACTCAAATGACGCCTCAATCTGCAGTGCCTGCAAGCTGCTGAACATTCAAGAACCACCACCATGAAGCGCACACCCTCTCCATAAGGTTTAAGCTTAGAATTTTCAGCTTTATAAACTTGTAAGGAATTTTCTCGGCATTCCTTACGGAGCCGACTACATCGCGTACAGCAAAACAGCCGATTGTTCGCCCGTTACTACTAACGGAACTTCGCCGGCTTCGCGCGCACTGTTTTGCCAAACCTCGCACTGCTGGCATGGCCGCATCGGCCTACGCTTCGGGACTAGCCCGAGCCTCGCTCCAGCGTAGCACTAGCCAGCTCGCACGCACCGCGTTACCGTTTTGCATGTTTCGCGTATAAATGTTCGCTCATGCCTTCGCTCACATTTTGTACTCGTTTGACACCTTAGTGCAATTCTCGCTACCTCGATTCATTGCACCCGTAACACTTGGTTATCAGAGCCCCTTTTCTTTCGGACCGCGCATCTCCGCACACCAGGAAATCAACTTTTGATTTTTCATTCGAAGGGACTCACGCACCTTAGCCCCTAGGAGCCGCTGTCCTCGCGTTCTCTCGTAAACGCGTGCAGCCACGACTGCGCCTAGACTAAGACGAGCCGACGCCCTTCGTCATGGCCGAAAACATCGACGTCACCACTCTCACGCAGGAGCGTTTGAACGATCTGCTGCGACAACTGCACGAAAGCTCCGAGGAAATCGCGGCATTGACGGCAGAACGCTCATCACTGCAAAATGACCTCCTGAGAGCACAATCTCAAACACCTGGCACTCCGATTCAACCCGCACCCTCAACATCACAACACGGGAGTGTGGGGCAACCCGCGAGCGCGGCCAGTGATGGCGTCGTCCGCCCCGACGGAGACGACGACCACGGCACGACACACCCCAGAGCGACGCCTGCGGCCCCAAGTCAGCCTCGCGTCACGATTTCGGCACCAACCCACGATTCGGGACTGCCGTCACCGATGCCGCTGAAGCCAC